AACCTATATAACGTAGATATTTCAGATTTTAGTCCTACCCTTTAAAATATTAGAACTGAGCAATCAACTACTCCAAAAATCTTAAACTTCTAGGAAATGCTCATATCCATCTGTTATTTATACTCAAAGACGCCCACTTTGTTCATGCCCACTAGTAAAATTAAACACAAGTACGACATAGCTGAAATTTTTTTTAATAGAATAGGGTGGTGAGGACTCAAAAATTTTGAACTCCTGACTTTTGTTTCTGACACTATGTTAAAAAATAAAATTGGTTATTAGTTGTCCCAAAAAGGTTAAAGCAACTTGCTCAATATAATATTGCAAACCATATGCCAAGAAATTTAACATTTTATCAGCAAGCAAGATATACATATGCATGAGCCTGAGGAAGACAAACACCTGATATGCAAGGGTGTAAGCATTAACAATATTTCTCTTCTCTAACTCTTCCATTATCAAATCTACACATTCCTCCATCTCTGCCTTGTAGGGATCACCTGCCTCTTCCACATATGCAAGTGGCACTCCATGGGCGCTAAAAAATATCATAACCTGACACATATATAACCAATTAAGCATGCTAAAGAACAACGCGGTTATAAAAGTGAAGCTTACAATTCAAAGGATAACAGTAAAGAAGGCTCTAGAGAACCCAGAAAGAACTTTAAAAAATCAGGATTATATGTCATCGGGATTTAATTTTGTCATTTTCCAGTAAAACAAATGAGAGCAGAAAAATTGACAAGCATTTTCCTCTACAATGTTTTGATGGATGACCAAGTACTGGAGTAAACATGGAACTGACTTGATAAGCTAGTATATATAAATTCAGGAATATACCATGAATTCAAAGATCTAGTACCTTATCTGGGTGGTCAAATTTTTGTAACTCCTTTTCAATTAAATTTGCCATGGCCTTTATATATCCTTCGCGCTGGTACCATGATGGTATGACTGTGTGCTGCATGTTAACTAAATATTCATCTTCCCTGATGAACAATCAATTGCTTTCTTAGAAAAAAATTATTGTAATTATATTTCTTGATTCACAGTAACTTTATTGTAGGATGCTCTTCTCGTCACCTGAACAAACTTTCTAAGAGCCGAAGGCTTGAACCACTAGTTGATATTGAAAATTGTGGATAAAGTGGAAGAACAACGAGCTTTGTTATTCCATCTCTTTTTATCTGAGTAATGAGCAGAATTAAAGAAAAACAAATTTAAAACGAAAAGTTGAAAAAAGAAATCCTAAACTAAGAATTGACAGCATGTCGCAATTTTCACTAGCATCACCAAAATGAAAATCCAAATTTTAGTAGAGTCAGATAATTGACTAAATTAGGAGCCATCATATATAGCAAAAGTAGAAAAATGCAACATTTAGATATTTTGTTCAGCCAGCCAAACTGATATCAATTGATTCAGTTCATATAGGAAACCCATATCCCAGAGCTCACACAAAACCAAAATACAATAAGATCTAAAGAACACAAATGACAAATAGTTCCGTAGTCTTGAAGCAGTGCGCCAGGTATTTTTAAGGTTTGAAGTATTTCACTGATGGGTGGTCAGTTGTAAATCTCAAATTGACAAAAAAAAGCCCTTCAAATATTCTTTTAATTTACAAAATACCAAGAAATCTAAACTTGTAACTAATAACCCGAATAATGCACATATGATACACTAATTTGTGGAACCTGCTCCACCGAAGCTTCCTATCATGGATGAAAGGTACAGAATATGTGATATTCACACACCAACATGTAATTTATCCGACAGATTGGGGCTAAAGTGTTCTAGGAATCACATTTGAAAAACTAATGCCTTAAACCAGTATCCAAAAAGTGCTCTGAAAATACATTTAGAAACACCAACCACAGTGAATAAAATTCTTTTATCGTCTTCCTTCATGTATCAATGATACCGTAAAACCTCATTTTGACCATGCTAATTAAATAAACTAATAAAGATTCACAGTTTCTATTCAAAGCCTTTTAGATCCAAAGCTATGTTTTTATCCAACAGCAGTTGCAGACTACCAAGTCAAAGACAAAATAATTTGAGATAGAGTAGTAGCTGCATATAGGCCACCATTTACCACATGTGACCTTGTATCAGACTGGTCTAACCAGTTTAGCTGTTAAACATCTGTAACTGTTGAAAACTGTTGAAAATACAAGTTTGATACTTTTCTGATAACTCGGTTATGTATTGAATGTTTTTTTGGACATAAAATGTATTGAAGGTTATAGCAGAGTAACCAAATTAAGTAACATACAAATAAGAGTAGGTAGCCTAATTGTAAAGATACCTGTTCAATAGCTTCTTCGGTGAAAGGATGCCAGTATCGCATGCCAACATATACTTTCGCAGGGACATTCTTTGCCCACAGGGATTTCCTCAATTCTTCAGCCTGAATAAATCAAAGATTGGACGGTGAGAAGCAACGATCACAAAACTAATAGCAGGAAGAGAAGAAAGTTTATCTCCCTGCACTAGAAAGCCTTTCCAACAACCAGTCACTTTAAATGAGAAAAACTGTATACTACTATTGCAAGTGCCCAAGGATGACCTACCATGTACAGAAGTGTAGATGTAGGTTAGGTACAAAACAATCTAAACATCAGTTGACAGAAATGTCGCTTTTTATCTTTTGAGAATTTCATCAAATTAAAGGAATTGAGTCCACTTGAAACAAGAAATAATATACTTTAGAATAAGGAGACGATATATTATACAAAATAAGATAATCTAATAATGCAAGCCCCATTGTCAGAGGTGTCAATAATTCCAAATTTTGAATACATAAATGACATACAAAACCACTTACGAGCATTATAAAAAAACAATGAGTAGTATCAGAGTTTCCTGCCAGCTGGAACTTTTGGCTTATGCTATTGGTTTGGACACATGCTTACTAGTCTTGAACAATAAAGAAAAAGACATGAAACGAGGAGGTACTTCATCAGATACCGCAGGAGACTTTTTATGTCGAATGCAACCTTCCTAATTACTATTGCCGCAAAAAGCACATATTCAAACAGATTAAGGAAGAAGTGGAATCCTAATTACAAATTATAATTAACAGCAGAAACCAAATTTCGTTAAAGAAAAACAAAACTAGAAAATGCGGACATGTGGAAAACAAGATAGGAAGGGAAGAAGAGTGAATGATATCATCCTAAAACGAATTGTAACAATCCCCTTTTATGCTTCTTATCGTCTCTGCCTTCCTCACAAATTAGTCCAAAGGAGGCCCAAGCATGACCTTTACATAGACTAGTTTTACCCACACACGAGATGTTGGACTCTGAACATCCTCAAGGAATAGCCTAAAGATTTTACTACATGCAAGACTTTCCTACAAAAGCAGTAATAACCACCAGTTCAGTGTGAAATAATTATTAACAAAAGTTCCACATTACAGTGCATTAACCTGTAAGTCTTAATATGCTATCGACAAAAGTCCAATGTTAGGGTGATCAATGCAGAAAAATAAATAGAAAAAGAAGCTGATGCAAAAACTGGACAGTGTAAACTGACAGAGACACATAATCAGTGGCAAATGGAATTGAAAGATGACAGATTATTTTCCTCTTTTCCATGCCAAAATTATCAGGCTTAAAGATAAAGCAGCCAATGCCAGCAAACTAAGTAATACCTGTGCTCCTATCTATGTCAAAAATGATCATACTACAAAAATAATTTGAAAATGAATTTACAGCAGTCAATACCAATTAAAAAATAATAATACCTGTTCATCAGTTATCCTTCTCAATGGAGAACCACCACCTATTGATGCATAGCCTTCCTTGCTCTTGGGTGCCCTGAAAACCGATATAAACTGTGCAAGGGGCTTTTGAAGAAAACGGAATAATCTTGGCAATCGTATAATGTCCTGCAAAATTGTGTAGCCACATAAATATGATGATATCAAGAATAACAACTGTTGAAAGTGGTTAGTTATGTCTAACTAAAATAACTGTAAATGATACCAGTGGATCCATAAGATATTTATTGTGTGCTGCACCCTCTCAGCACCAACAATGAAATATCCACCCTCTCAGCATTGTCTACGAATCTAGAACTTTGGTTCTTTCCCGAATTTGTCTTACTTTATAATGCATATAAGATTAAACCGTGGATCATACCAAGCGCTGAATAGAAACATTAAACTAAAAACCCATACAAAATGAGCACCTAGGAAACAAAGGCCATATGCAGATAATGAAGAACCATAAGACTGAATTACCTTGGATGCTCGTGCCCATAAGAAATCGCAGTTGCAATCCATTTACCCCGTAGATCCATGGGAAAAGTCAAGGTCTATCCGGGAGTGGATCTTTGTCGGAAGAAGCAGGAATAATGAAATGGACCTCGACTAGAAGAAGAGGCTTAAGAAGGGCCAGCTAAACGCAGATCCTGTCCTTGGTAGAACTTGTCTTTGATTGGGATTTCGATTTAGAATGCTTCCTCATGTGCTCAAGGGGATTAAGAGGACCAGCAAGGCGGGGGGCTTAGAAAGAGAAAAGAAAAAAGAGAAAATCGTGGGGGGGAAGGTTAGAGCAGCAAAAGCCATTGGAATTTTTATTTTATACATTTTATCCGGATCATTTATAACCAGGTCTTCACTTATACTAGTATTTTCAATAGGACCAAGACTATCCATTGATGTACTTATCCCAAATCTGTATTCTACTTCTCCTTTAGACAACATCGAATTGAACCACGATTTTTCCATAGAGCTTTCTGGCCTCTATTTACATGAAAATACAATAGATAAATAGCCATTCGCAGAAGAAAAAACTTCTTTCTTTGAAGGGGGCCCGACCCGTCACTCACTGAAACCCGGGAATCCTCCTTTTTTTTAGGAATAAGAATTCCTCTCTCGCCAGTCTCGGTCAATTGAATCTGACTGAGCTAGACAGGTTCAGCTGAGCGATAGCTCTTCGATCGCTATATTCTCGCAATGGCGAAGGATCAAAGATCTTCGCGAGAGGCCCCTTCTACTGCTTTTCTTTTCTTATTTTGTATTTTTACTTTTAATCTTGCAGCATTTGTCTTAATTTAATTTTCAGTCATTTATCCCATTTTCTGTTCATTTATAATGTTACTTAATTTTTCCTAAAACATATCCTAGGAAGGGTGTATAGACCCACGCGTGTGCCAACCTACCTAGGTGGTTAAAATACCATTTTGTCTTTTTGTTCTTTTATTTTCTTTGGAAGAATACAGTCTAAACAAAGTGTCATAAGGTACACTTTATGTATAGAAGGGATGTTAGAGATTAGGAATGGCTTCCCATAGCTACATATTATCAATGGGGCCAATTCCCAATCAAGCCTTTCTTATGACCATCCTCTTATTATTATGCTCCTATTCTGTCAAATACATACTGGTTATGCCCTTCCCAAGAAAAATAAGAACTTCTTTCAGGTGTCTGCAGATCCTCAAAACTCTAATTCCAATCCCTGTTATCTTCATGCCATTTCTTTGTTTATTTAGTTCTTATAACAATTATTCTGGGATATATATTTATTTAGTTACTTAAACCTTGTTATATTTATTATAATTTTATTTCAAACATTGAGCTAAATAGTGATTGGTCTCTTTCTTTCAAAAAAGATACTCTTTTTTTTTTTTTACAAATGACCAAAAAAGACAGACATAGCACTCAGCAAGGATGTACTTGTTTATATTAACTCACTAGTTCACGTACCTAGCCTATAAGGAAGTTTAGAAAAAAGAGAAAATGTTCCCAACAACTCAAAACCCCTCCCAAGGAGTTTAAGGAAGGAACCTAAACGAGGAGCCTAAACTCCCTACCTTCCCTTCCCAAAAAGAGAGAAAGAAAGAGAGAAAGAGAGGGGAGGCCAACCAACCTAAAATCAGGAGTCTTAAGAGATTTAAGTCACATAAAATCAAAACCAAGGTTAACCAAATCACTGTAACCCTAAGTTGTTGATATCCTCCCCTATTTACAGAGAGGGTTCAAGGCTTATGTAGCCTTTTAAGACCAGCATAAGAAATAGAAAAAAACCAGGGTTGAATGTGAAGAGTAAATAAAAACATGTTTTCAGTTATAACAAATAAGCTACAAAGTAATCACCTCATCTTAGTTTTTCTCAAAAGTAAGGAAAAAAAGAAGAACATAGTTTGACATAGTATAGATTATTTTCATGATAAATTTTGAACAGTTATAGATGGTTATATGATTTGTTATCTTAACTTTGTTCACTATGAAGTTTCTAAGAATTTTACAAGATGATTTTAAGCATTATTCCATTCATACAATTTAATCCATGTCATAGCCTATGGCTTAGTGCTTCACAAAATTATTTGGATTTTCAATATTTTGAAATCAGGTCCTTATATCACAGGTCTGCATAGCCTTCTTAGAAATGATTACATAAACAAAAGTCATGTCTACAAAAGATTGGGAATTTCTTAAACTGTACAATTGAAAGAAAAAACCGGACGAGCACATTTAAAAGGATATTCAATTTAATCTTCTTATGGAAAACAAAATTAATATTCAAAAATACAAACGAGAGGATATAACTGCAACTCATAAAACCAAATTCTAAGATGCACTAACAAAAAAGCAAGACCAGAACTTACTGGGTCAGCAAAGAGGTTAAACAAAAATGGTTGCACATCATCAAGAGTCTCTGGACCTCCAAGATTCAGCAATAACACTCCTATCTTTTCATCACCAATTAGCGGTGGAGCCGTTATATCTGGAGTTTTTGAAGTCACTAATGTTCCCAAAGGCAACACATGCCGGTTCAGTGGTCGCTTAGAGAATGAAGGTTGTGACTCAGACCATCCTGAAGGACATCTGGATACTATCTGATCCTTTGGGAGACTAGAAACAAGATAGGCCTCCATATGGACTCCAGAGCAGCGATACAATTTTTGATAGCTGCAATTTGCCTGTGGCAACAGCCTATGGAGGAAAAGATCTTCAGAGTAATATAACATCACATTTACCATATGATATGCTCTAAAAGTATTACAAAGTTCATGCGACTGGGTTTGTGATCACTAATACATAACGCAAAACCAAGTTAAATTACATTTCTTGCTGAATGATGTAAAATTACATTTACATGGCTCAACATGATGCCCATCAATAGACAAAGCACATGAAAATAAATAAAATTATGGATATTAAACTAAAAGTTAGGGGAGAGAGAGAGAGAGAGAGAGAATTGATGAGCAAATTAGTAAAAGCTCTGATGAAGAGAAATTAGATGAGAGTAACAACAGAACTCCACTCTAACAAAATTAGAAACCTAAAACCATCAAAATTTTGAATTAAAGACCATGCAGTTAAAAAGTTAATTGATCAACAAACTATATGGAAGTGAAAAATTAGTGGCTCACTAAAATGAGGAAAGGTTTGATGCATTCTTTTAAGAGAAATGAATAGGGAAAGATTTTGAAGAAGTAAATGTCATTCATGTTCCATTATAAGAATACGAAGCTTGATATTCTTAGAGAAACCAATTCTTTCAGTCCTTCAACCACGAGGATTAGAAAGAAAAAAAAAAGTAATTTTAAGGCTAAAATCTCTGCCAAGTTAGTCAGTTGAAGCTCCGAACCATTGTACAACAGAATAAGTATTAGATTAATAAGTATAACAAAAGAAAAGATTATAAAAGAAAGGAATGTTGACAAATAAAGAGCGCTTCGAGTAGTAAACAAATATCATTTGCCGAATTACTTCCATAAACCTTTCAAAACAACAATAAACCAATACATGCCTAAATAAGCCGATGGTCCTCATATACATAGGTAACAGCAGAAAGAGAGGAAACCAAAGAGAGGACTTACATAGGAGGACGAAATGTCGACGAATAAGAAGCAGAAGACGAACATGAAGGAGTTTTGTTAATTGCTTGACAATTCATTCTTGGTAACATGTAGCACCTATCTATACAGCCTAAACAGGAACAAAAGAGTCCAACTGCAACTATTCCTTTCTAAACCCTAAAAACGAACAAGAAACCAAATAAAAAAACATCAATTAACAGGGGTCTCCAAGTATCTAAACTTCCCATTTCAAACTTCTGAGAATAGAAAAAGAAAGATGAACCCAGGAAACAAAAGCAAAGAAACTGAAACTAGAAAGATTAAATTTACCCGGATAGAGTTAGAGAAGTATGGAGTGAAATAATTGTGTAAAGGAAGAGAGAAGCAGTGGGTGAGTGGAGGGGTTCCTAGTTATAGACAAATCCGCAGGTGGGTGGGAAGGGAGAGCGACGCATGAGAACTATACAACACCTCTCTTCTTTATCTTCTCATGGATTTTTTAATACCTTCCATTTTTATCTTTTCTTGGCTTCATTCTTAAATTATGTTTTTTTTTTTTTGGTGGAGATTGATGTTTTTATTATGGTTGTTGAATGGATGAATCTCATCAGTCACTTCTTTAAAAAAAGAAAAAATAATGGATAAAACTGAAAATTGCTCCTTGGATTTTAAAGGCAATTATTTTTTTTTACTAATATTTATTTTTAATAAACACATAATTTTTAATTATTTAAAATAATAATATTTTTTATAATTATTTTTATCAAACAATAAATTATTTTTTATAAAAATACTTCGAACGAACAACAACAATTTTAGAACTCAAATATATAAAAAAAAGTATAAATATCTTCATATACTAAACGCTCGTTAATGAGTACCGCATCTTCAAAATTATAATCTTTCCATGGCATATAAGCTACTAATACATTTTTATTACATAAAGTTTAATTGATAATTTAAAAGTTTTGTTTTTTTTTTCTAACTCTTACCGATGTTTTAGCTATATGTGATATTTAATAATTATTAAACTAATTTATAGTTGAATCTTATTCTTAATGATAATATTAGACTCATAAATATTACTTATTAATAGTTTATATATGCATAATACGTGAATTTGTTGTATATTGAAGATTGACACTATAATATAACAAAAATGAAATATGTAATAAGACAAGAGAAAAGACATTTAGGCAAGCCAAAAAAAATGTTGAAACAATTAAAAGTAAAAACTAGATAAATGTAAATAAAAAATATGAAATTAGAATAAACCAGTTAATTTGAAACAGTAATTAATTATTGTATACATTATTACTAATTTAAAAAGATGACGGAGTGAAAGAGAGAGACGCATGAGGAAAATGATATAGAGAAGAGAGAGGCAATTAAGCCAAATTAATAAAACTAAACCCTTGGTATATTACTAATTAAGCAAAATTATATATAACAATTTAATTTAATTAAGATCGAAATAGTTATGTTATCTTTCATAATTCAGTTAGAAATGTGTTAAGATACAAAATTGTCAATTATTTTATCTTATAAAAAATGTATTGGATCATATTGTCTTCAATATTATTGTACCAGAAATACTGGAGTTGGACGCGCATAATGTTTAAAATATTATTACTACTAATAATTATGAACATAATTTCATTGTTAAAGATTGTCTAAATTACTAGCACAGAGGCTAGATATATCAGAAGCTTGAATCAACCGAAAAAGCAATGAAGCGGCCTACCGTATCATCAACGAAGCTTAGTTGTTCTCTAACTTTTAGATACAAAAGAGTTTACCTCCTTAATTTTTATGTAAAGCTTTAAATGTTTACATTTTGAATGAATTTTTTTTTTTTAAAAAAAAATCAAAATAGCTATAATTTGATTTTATTATTTATTTTTTTCTAAAACACTCCTATTTTTTATAATTACAGAAATGATCAAAATAAGGATATACAGATCTTTTTAAAAATTATATCACTCACAGATAACTTATTTTTCTTTGACCTCTATTAATGTAAAATCTTACCAATTGAAAATAATCAATAAATATGGTTTTCAAATATCAAAAACAATAAATTAAAATTAATTTAATTACCAAAAAGAGAGAGAAAAAAAAGCACGGAGTCTCGGCGAGCTGCCAACTAGCGTTGTAAGCCAAAACGACAACGTTTAAGCGTTTGTGTCTACGCTCCACACACGATATGTAAGGAAGCAGAGAAAAAAGAAAAAGAAAAAGAGATGCTGAGGAGCTGGAAGAGAATGTCAGAGAGAGAGTGAGAGAGAGAGAAAGGCAGAAACAGTAAATTAGAGCGGATGATATGAACGGGCAGGTGGAGTCGGCGTGAAAGGAGTAGAGGAGGCGTAAAAGAAAGGAAAAGTGAGGCACTGGGGAAGCAAGGTAAATCGGCTAGAAGGATTGAGGGAAATAACAAAGAAAAGGAGGGGGAGGATAGCTGGAAAGGCGAAAGTTATTGGGATTTTAGAGGCTGAGAGGCGAGGAGGACCAAAAAATTAGATCAGAGATATAGGTGTTTGATTAAAAAAAAAAAAAAAAAAAAAAAAAAAAAGGAATTCGCGAGACTAGCAGAGGGAGGAGCTGAAGGAAGAGAGGGCCGAGGAGGAAGGGGACAGAGAGGCCGAGGAAGAAGAGAGAGGTCGAGGGAAGAGAAACAGAAAACGTGGTTCGGTTAGGGTTTACACATTTTGGGACAGAGCAACGAAGGGAGAGCGGAGGAGGTTCTGGGGAGATCGAGGAAAACAGAGGCGAGAAAAAAAGGAGAAAGCGGAGAGGCATAGGAGAAAAAGAGATCAGAAGCAGAAGAGAGAGGAGATATGAGGATCTTCTCATGACATGCAATACTATCCCTAGATATATGGTTTAAATCCTCTCTCTTTTTGGGCTCATTGATCGAAAAATATCAAATTGAAACAAAGCAGTCACATGGTAAATAATTTGATACTAGTCGATGAAAATTTTGATGTGCACTGATTTTTTTTTTTTCTTTTATGTGTTTTTATGGGCCTAAAGATTCTTGAGCAAACAGGAGTGAACAAGGGCCATTGGGATTAGTGTTTCCTTTTGTTTCACTTATCTATTTTTGTTCATTATCTGATTAATTCTTTTTTTTGAAATAATTATCTGATTAATTCTTATAATCATCTAATTAATATGAATGCTCCATAAATGTTAAAAAAGAGAAATTCTGTAGTCTTATTGGTACGCCTGGTTGTGAATCCTAGGGATGATACTGGGGGCCTTGTAGGAAATGTTTGGGTGTCCTTTTGCCATTATAGCTTGACTACTGTGATGTAACATCTTGTCTGCAGTTTTGGGCTTATATCTGCACTAATTCATCTATGTATTTTGTGGTTTTTGTTTAGAAGTAATTTCATGTAATTTTCATCACTATTGTTTATATCCTTCCATTATGTTTATCTTTGGTGTTCAGAAATAACTAAAAATGGCGACTGAGCTGGTAAATTCTGCAACAAGTGAGAAACTGGTTGAAGTGGATTGGACAAAAAATATTCAAATATGTGAACTTGTTGCTCAGGATCAAAGGTATTTTTAAATGAATGTTCTCCATTTCTATTATAAAATTATGTTGACTGATCATATGTTTTGTGTCTCCTTTTAGATTATAAGTAATTTTAGATGCATCACTATTGAGTAAATTTATCAAAGATGCATCTACATAGACTATTAACTTTATTGAAACATCATTCTATAGAGAGACTATGGTATATTTCCTGGATGCATCACTCCTGGTGTTCATAATGATAGTGTACTGGTTTTCCTTGTTTTCTTCTTTCTTTGAAACCAACTTCCTACTTGGTCATTTCTGGCAATAGATAGGGTGGAGTGGGAACACATCTCATACTATATACAGAAACAGGTCAAACGTAGCGATCTACAGAGATGGTCCCCATGACCAAAAGATATTTGTTGTTGTGTAAACTTGGGGTTTCATGAAGAATGATATTGTTGCTGAAGTAAACAGTTGAAGGATGAATGCCACACTTCTTGGAAAATGCTTGTATAGTTGTTAAAAACCATGAAGGATTACACAAGACAATCAAACGACTCATCAAGAAATAGCAGGAGATCTATTTGCATTTCTGACATGGCATATTATAAGAATATCTTGGAAGGGTAAAAATTGGTATTATTGCGAATGCTGTGGCAATTGTCTATGTCAACTCTTGTCCTTTAGAGTACAGAGGTGTTCCTTGCTTCTTTTTGGCTAAGGTCCCTGTTCTCTTTGAGGAAAGGGTGCAGGATGTCTTTATCAATATTGCTAAGGGATTGAGATTTTATCTTGTCTTGATGTATCGTGTTTGATTTGTTTGTCTCATTGGAGGATTCGTTCTACTCCCCAGCTAGTTTATAGCTCTCCCTTCTGACTTCTGAATAATATTTCTTCATTGTAAACAGTTGAAGGATGAATGCCACACTTCTTGGAAAATGCTTGTATAGTTGTTAAAAACCATGAAGGATTACACAAGACAATCAAATGACTCATCAAGAAATAGTAGGAGATCTATTTGCATTTCTGACATGGCATATAATAAGAGTATCTTGGAAGGGTAAAAATTGATATTATTGCGAATGCTGTAGCAATTGTCTATGTCAACTCTTGTCCTTTAGAGTACAGAGGTGTTCCTTGCTTCTTTTTGGACTAAGGTCCCTGTTCTCTTTGAGGGAAGGGTGCAGGATGTCTTTATCAATATTGCAAAGGGATTGAGATTTTATCTTGTCTTGATGTATCGTGTTTGATTTGTTTGTCTCATTGGAAGATTCGTTCTACTCCCCAGCTAGTTTATAACTCTCCCTTCTGACTTCTGAATAACATTTCTTCATTGTAAAAAACATGTCACTGCATGTAGCTGCTATTATAATTACATTGGCTGTTTAAGCTTACTTGCCTACATGCAGACCTCATGCTCATGTTTTTTTGGGGGGTTCTTCTGGGGGGGGGGGTAAGGGAAGTAATTCCTTTATAAACTTTAGATACAGAACCCAAGATACTAAAAACAGCTATCTTCAATGGTAGAGAGGCATGTGGTATATATGTTTAGGAATCTTTAAGATATACATGATGAAATATATTATGCATCAAGAGATAGGATGGCTGTCAACCTTTCACCAAGATGGATAAAGAAGCTGTTCTGATTATGATTGGGACTCTAATTCTATCTAATCTTGACTTCCCAACAATTATTTCGATGGTGTTGCATTATCAGTTTATATGTCAAAATGAAATGTGTCACTTTGCTTCCACAGATGCATAAAATTTAAAACTGCTACAGTGATGATCTGAAATAGGAGGATTCATTAGCTAGAAGGTCTTGGGACTCAGTAGGTTGGTGCTTAAATATTGATAGAGATCCAAAATAATATAACACAATTCGCCAATGGTCATCAGTTACCACATATTATGTGCAAATTCAAAATAACTTTTTTTTTTACTTCTTTTATGATTTAAATTGTAACTTCTTTATATCCTTAAACATCGTGGTTGATTCAAAGTATAATAAGTTTTACTATGTTGGTTTCACTATGTTGGTTTCACTATGTTGGTTCTAACAAAATCATTGATTGTTGGTTTCACTGTTTTGGTTCTATTATTTTGGGATATAACATCAACTGTCTCGATGATTTTGGTTTTCTTGTCGATAGTTTAATCGATTTGTAAATACATTATAGATAGGTTGTGCCCCCTTGGCACTCTTACATCAATACAACTCCACACTTTTATTTCCATAAAACAAAGTTCTATTACGTTGTGAACTAATTTATTTCACAATGAATTGTGCCACTTTTTTTTCCATGGAAGCACAAATTCAATATTGCTAGAATGGTGATCTGAAATAGGAGGATCCATTAATCAATAAGGTATTGGGACTGACTAGGTCCTTGTTTAAAATTTAATAGAGATTCACCATGATTTGACATAATTGGGCCAACTTTCATCCTTTATCATTTATTATGTGCAATTTTAATTTTTTTAATGTCCTGTATATTTATATTTAAAATTTTTATACCCTTAAAAATTGTAGTAGATCTGAAGCTTAATTTGTTCTGCTATGCAGTGAACAAATTTATTTCATTTTTCAACAGATTACCATCCTTTACTTGCACTATATTACCAATGCTTGATCTTTATTTTTCTTACCGTCATCTTCTCTTCTTATAAGCAGGCAAGCTAAAGATGTTATCAAAGCAATTAAAAAACGACTGGGGAGCAAAAACTCAAATACTCAATTATATGCTGTTATGGTGAGTACCTCTATATATTTGTGTTTAACCTTCTTTTGTGTTTTTCAAAAGCTATTTTTGGAATTTTGTTTTTCCTTTCAGAGTAGTATCTCAATAATCCTCTTGTTACTGCAATGGAATTGCTAGTTACGTGGCTTGCTTTTAGCTGTTAATCCCTTGAATTTTGTAGTTGTTGGAGATGTTGATGAATAACATTGGAGACAGTATTCATAAGCAAGTGATTGATTTGGGGATTCTTTCCATTCTTGTGAAGATTGTGAAAAAAAAGGTTTCATTTTTTTTTTCTTTTATCATTTGTTTACCATTTTAATTTCACTATTCAATATGTTTATGCCTTTGGGTTTTTCTACAGACAGATTTGCCTGTACGAGAGAGGATATTTCTTCTTCTTGATGCGACACAGACCTCTGTTGGTGGTGCTTCTGGAAAGTTCCCTCAATATTATACAACATATTATGATTTGGTGGTAGGTACAGGCAAGAAACATATTAGTCCTTTTGGCTTGGTTTTAGAAGTTCCTTGAATCATAGCATATGAAATCTAGCTTAGAAGAATCTGGCATGGTTTTGTCAGGATCGAGGGTGGACTATCTGTAGCATACCCAGTTAAGCTTAAAACATATTCAAAGCTCTCTGTCAGTTTTTAATATTCTTAAGATCATGCCAATTGTAGATCAGTAAGAAACTGAAATAAATAGACCTGTTCATAACCTTCATATTTTTAACTTGTGTCCATGAAATTGATTGTTCAATTGACTGGTTTACTTGACAATATGTTAAAATTAAATTTTAGAGGGGAAGTGAAATGTTCTATGTTTTCAACCAACTAGGATTGCCATGCTAACCCATAGTTCTTGTGAACAATTTTCCAGAGTGCAGGAGTTCAGTTTCCCCAAAGACAAAGTGACACACCGTCAAATTATCCGACCTCCCAAGCAAATACAAACAAGACGCTGAATGGACAACTTGCATCTGCTAGACAGGAAGGGCTTGCTCCACAAATCGAGCCTCAGAGTGTTCCAGAATCTAGGTATCTTCGACTTTGTTTAGAAGAAAAATAGTATTATAAATAGAATATCAAGGAGTTGCTGGTTGGTACAAAATATATAGATATAAAAGAGTCAGACAAAAGGTCTATGGGTTCATCATCATTGTCTCCATTTGACAGGGTAACCTCTTAACAAAATACTTAGTTTGGAATTCCAAATCTCTAATTAATACAAAGTACGTGTATATTACAAATAAGCAGCTTTTTTTAAACCAAAGTTTAATATAAAGAGATTATGTTTTATAAAAAAGTTATAAAAACATATGTATTGCTACAAATATTTATCACTTACATTATTTTACATAGACACACACACACATACATAAGAGACATCTTACAAAGGACCCATTATGCAAGAGATATATATCCTTATCCAATTTGCATATATTATATATATAGTCAATGATAACATATATATTTATATCCATTGCATATAATTTATGACTTCCACTATTTTATGTATGTACATAAATATAAGAGTCATCTAAGATACAAGGGAACCATTTTGCAATATATATATATAAATATATCCTGACCTGATTTGCAAAAAAGAAGACAGTCATCAACAAATTACAAATGAGATAATGCGTGAGACTTCCCATCCTCACTAATACTTCGGGGTTAAAATTAATTTTTTCCTTTGGTCCTAAGAATCATTATTTTGAAGAAATTGGAAGGGCCCCATTTAGCATGAGCAAGAAGAGTTAATCAATGTCCATCATTTGAACCCATACATTGAAAGAGATAGATCAGAAATTTCAAGAGACACGATCATAAGTCTTCTCATTTGTTATTTCAAAAAAAAAAAAAAAAATTCTCATTTGGCAATTTACTGGAGGCCCTTGATTAACCTTTTTTCTCAATAAAATTCATCATTTTCTTGGCCGTAAGAGTTGAATATGAACTTTTGACCACAGAAAAGCTAGTTGGGTCTAAAGTCTTTCACATCCTTAGCATATGTACTTTGGGATGAGTACTAGAAAAGTAGACCTTAGGCCCTTGATTTGGCAACTTACATCTTTCACATCCTTGATAAGTCATCTCATTTGGCAATTTACTACAAGCCCTTGATTCACCTTTTTTCTCAATAAAATTCATCATTTTCTTGGCCATAAGCGTTGAATACCAAACTTTTGACCCATAGAAAGTTGGGTCTAAAGTCTTTCACATCCTTAGCATATGTACTTTGGGGATGAGGACTAGAAAAGCAGACTTTAGGCTGGCCACACTTTTTCAATGGGTGATGCCACCATTCACCAAATCTTGCTTTGGGGAAACATGCCATGACGAAACCATCTAGCCATGGTGCTTTTATCTGTGTTATACTTGGAACAAGCTGCAAGGATCTCATCCTCGGAGAAGCCTTTTAACCCATGCTTTATTTGTTTCATTTAACTCATCAAACTTAAGGCCATCCAGATGTGGCTAATGGGAAACAATGTTAACTTTGCAAAGTGAATACTTGGACATTCACAAACAAACATGAGACAAGACAACTATGAAGTGATAATTCGCTACGCTATGGAAGTACGTTGTGGTGCCGTTCATTTTGCCCTTAACATTTTGCTTCTGTCTCTTCCATTAGTGAGAGATTAGAGAAATCCAGCTTGGCCAATCAGCCCTCACTCTCATCCCCAGTAAAATCAGCTGAAGACTCTTTGCATCGAAAAACCTAAATCCCTTTAGGTAATTGGATTACTAAACTGCTTCCTGTTCAATTGCTTCAACTAGCATTTCATATATTGGAGTTTCTATTTTCAGCCTTTCTTTCGTTAAATTACACTTTGGCTGACTTTTGTGCTTTTGTATTGTGGTCCTTTTAGGGTTTAGGATTGAGAAAAGTGTGTTAGAATATTGTAACATTTAGTAGATTATTTATGATAGAAATCAATATAGCTGAAGGCCAGACTCATTGCATGATTTGTTTAGGGTTGGTGATGAGCTGAGCTCGGTATTGAGAATGCGGGGTTGGCTCGAGCTTAGCCAAAATTGAACTCAAGCTTGAAAAAGAGCTAGTTCAACTTTTTTTAAAAAAGAGGCAAACTTGAGCCTGAAACTCTTTGGGACCAGAAGTTCGTGAATACAGCTCAATGAACAAAACATAGTATAAAAATAAATATATGTTACATATGTTTATTAAAATATAATATACATTATATGTTGGGTTTGTCATTGATACTCTAACTAAAATGTAAATTTTCTGTGCATGGGTGGTACTCCTTTGGTATTATGTTTATAGTACTACATTCACATTTTTTATTTAAAAAAAAAAAATAATAACATTATATGAGATATACTATTATTTACATTAATTATTTTATTTACTGAATTTTTATAGATTTTTAACTAAAAAATATGATGTAGATAACCTATTATCGAGCTTAACTGAGCTGAATCATGAGTATTTCGAGCTTAGACTATGCTTTTGTCAAACATTTTTCAAAATGAGCCTGAACTTTATTTTTTTTAAAATGAGTCTAACACAGAAAAAACAAAGCTTGATTATCGTCTATTATTCTTTTCAATTCTCTGGTGTTGGCTGTAGCAAAAACGTTAATCATTGTGGTTGGACTATTTTTTCTCTGGTTAATGGGTTTTCTGGTTGGAGAGGATTGTTAATATTTCTAAACATGAATTCTTTCCTTTCTTGCTCCTTTGGGATAGGTTGCTTTTTTCAGCGTCTTTAAGACGCAAGAAAATTTTAAATACTATTTCTGCAGCTTTGCGTATAGGTTGGCTTGCTATCGTCTATTGAATTTTAATTGGTTGTTCTCTTTTTTCTCTTTTTTTTTTCTTTTTCTTTTTGAAAGGATAACTAATACTCCCTTTCATGTCATTCCCTCTTCCCTACAAAAATAATCTCATATTATTTTCCCTGTTTTGTGGCCATTACTTGATTCTGAATTTAATGTCTAGAAACAGCTTAGGTTGCACAAATCTAGTCCATCATGAATTTGGCCATCAGATAAAATGCTTAATATGCGAAAATAAGAAAAAATGTGACTACCAAGTATTTGCTGCAGATTTTGAAAGGTTATCGTGCAACTATATTGACATTGTATTTATCAGGCAGGTGCAGAAGTTTTGGTTCAAGAGTTCTTGAACTCAAGTTTGTTTGCACAAGAAATATCTGTCTGGATATTATATTATCACTTTGTGAAATCTTGATCTGATGTTTGAATAAGGACTAATGAATTAGGGTGGATCATTATGAGTTTACATCATAGGATATTGGAATTCCTTATGTAAATTTATCACATGTGCCATAATTATGAAGTTTTCCATGAAACTTCTAATGTTTTATTTGTTTCACACAGTATCATTCAGAAGGCTAATAATGCATTAGAGGTTTTAAAGGAAGTCCTTGATGCTGTTGATTCTCAAAATCCAGAGGTATGTCAAATGAGGAAGACTGATATTTGTTAATTGCATTTCACCTAGTTGATAATTTATTTTCTTAAAATGCATGCCTGAAACCAAGTAGGCATTGATTAAGTTAATTGCATCCATTATTTTTTATTGTTATGGTATTTCTGTGTTAGGGAGTAAGGATGAATTCACATTAGATCTTGTGGAGCAATGCTCATTTCAAAAGCAGCGAGTAATGCATCTAGTGATGACTTCTCGGTAAGTTTACCCTCCGTTGCTTAGCACTATATGTGGAGCTTGTCTCTCTCCCTTACACACCTTTCACTCACAAACTCTTCTGTTTTTTTTTTAAGATACTTTGGGGAAATGAACTGTAGTTAGCAGAATCTGGAGTTTTTACATTTCTGATCAGCAAAGTTGGCATTTTACCTAGTATTCTTGAATTTTGTTTTATTGACAACATTCCCTCTGAATTTTCTTCCTCAAAGAAATCCCCTTAGAATGTTCTTTGTTTTGATATTGGTGTACAGTTGAGTGTCTTGGCAAATGGATGCTGTCAGGTAGTTACTGTTTAATGAAATTTGTAGCCATGGACAAGTTTCAACTTTAGGGTATTATCTTGATAACAAGTGAATATTCTAAGTGAACCAATAAGAAAGCATTGTCGTTCACCAGCAGGATTAGACACACACTAGTATTTGGCTCTTTCAGCTTAATGGATTTTGTCTTTGTTTGCCCAGGGATGAGAAAGTGGTTTCACAAGCAATGACTTGAACGAGCAGCTGCAGAATGTTCTTGCCAGACATGATGCACTACTTTCCGGTAGGATAACAGTTTCAAGCATGTCTACCTCAAATGGAAATCATCTGAACCATGAAGAAGAGGATGAGGAAGAAGAGCCTGAACAGCTTTTTAGAAGGTCTGTATTGAAACTTACTCAGCTTCATTCAATGGAAAGATATTACTTCCTCTGTATATATATTTTTTTGCTCTCTGAAAAAAGAGAACTGCATGTCCTATATTCCTAATACAAATAATGAGTGAATGTACTCTCTGCAGTAACTTAATTTTAATTTGTTCTTATATAGCTAAGATTTTGTATAATGTTCTTATTGATATATTGATTTAGAGCTTTTTTGTTTGCGCACTAGCTTAACTGAACTCCTAGCTTTGAAAAATTGTATTGCAGCACCTCTTACCAGTTGCCAACTTCTCCTGCCACACCAGTCATTCAGTAATGGTTGAGGATCCGACCAAGTTGCATAACCTGACCCATCTAGTCATGTGACATCATAAGACTAAATCTGGACAACAGATATATTGAAACTTTTTATATATGTTTCTGTTAATATTATTTGTGATATAAATTAGTATTATCTCAAATAAGAATAATTGGATTTTGGTTTTATGAACAATCTTATTAGAAAAAATTATTGTACAATCTTCTTTGTACCTCTTACTTTATAGGCTTTGAAATAACACCAAGGGAGATTTATGATAAGTTATTTATGGTAGTAGTTTCCTTCAAACGTGGCTGCAGCGAAAAGCTAACATAAAATTTGATTAAGTCGGAAGTGTTCTAATAGTCCTTAGTTGATTTTCATTTGTTCAGTCATTAATTCTTTACTTACTCTTTGGTAAATTGCTTTGCCTTGAGTTGGCAGGATGAGGAAAGGAAAAGCATGTGCCTTGCCTGAAGATGAAGAATGCTCAGTTGAACAACCCCCTGTTAGGATTCCAGATGGAATGCTAAACCGTCCACTTATACGACCTTTAAGTTTGGATGGATCACAGGAAACCAATACACATCTGCCTCCTGTTGCAATCCCACCTCCACCTGCAAAACACATTGAGAGAGAAAGATTTTTTCAGGAGAAAAAGGTTGATGGTTCATGTGTAGCTGGCCACATGAGAGGCCTCTCATTACACAGTCGCAATGCCAGCAGTTCTCGCAGCGGAAGCATGGATTTTAGTGACTAGCAACACGGAAGTGAGAAAATATTCTTTTTATTTGAGCAGCTTCTCAAGTTCTTCAGATTTTGTAACCTGATCAGCGAGTGTATTGGACAGCTTTATTTGATGCAAGTGAAGGTGTTGTTTTACTGGTAATATTCTCTACTGTTGGTCGGAATGAGAAGGATTTAGTGGTCAAATTCATGTGATGCCTTGACATGGAATTGGTATTGTTTGCGACTTTCCCATGGTCTACCATTTGGTGCTTCTGCTTGTGTAAAACTCAATTCGTAAATATATAGAAATATATAAGGTTCTATTTTCTCAAGGGATTAGGGATGGATTTATTATTATATACGAGTGCATGTCTGGAAGTCGGTTTGTTAGTAGTTTTTCACGAAGTTGATTTGTATCCAACATTTTGCTTTGAAAGTAGTAACCCTATGTTGTGTTGTGCATGGTTTGCTGTATCCATGTTGTGGAAACTAATTAAAGATGTGCTATGAAGTTAATATATGTTATTATGTTATGGTAAGAGGCTATCAAGATTTTAAGAGCCACTTTTGAGGCATTTTCCTTGCTCTCACTCTCTAACTTTTAGCTCTACCACTAACCTTATGCTCTCAAACCCTGAAAAAAATTCATATTATCTCTCACTTTAAAAGAAATTTATCTTTTGAACTTAAGAAAACCATATATCTGAAAAGCTCTCGTCTTTATTAGCCTCTGTTTCTTCTCTGTTTCTCTTCTTGAGCTGCGTCTGTCTCTCCGACTGTCTGTGTTCTCTTGGCTCATTCTCTTTTGATTGTCCTTTCTATCAAAAGAAAGTCCACGATTTCCCCTTTCAAGCTTGCCCCTTATCTTTCTTCTTCTCACCAGAAACTGAAGCTTTCTTCCCAAAAAACCCCTCTCAAGTCGTCACCTCAGATTTGTCTTCTCTCCCCTGATTCTCTCCTCTCCTCTCCCTTGATTCTTTCCTCTCGACCTGATAAAAAGAATCTGCCTAGATCACATCTTTAATTTGTCTATTCACTCTCATGTTCTTTTGTTCACGCTTAATGGCTCTCTGCCCTCTGATTTTTGCAAGTTGGCATTATCCTTTTAACTTTTGCTTGTCATCTTCTTCTCGTGTGTTCTTCTCTCTGCCTCTCTGTCATACCGGCCTCTGCGTATGCCGCCTCCCTTGTACATTTACGCTTCTCTATTTCCTGGTATAATTCCTCTTTTTGCAACTCAGAGGAAGGGAAAAGAAAAGAAGAAATGTGTTGTTTAGAAGGAAGAGCATTGGTGCATGGGCTGTTTTTTTTCTTGTGTTTGAGGTTGAATTAGCCTATGAGTCTTTGGTTTGTTGGGTTTGACTTTTATGATGAGCATTCGGATTAAATGAGGTTTTGAATTTTTGGGTTTTGTTGATTTGGTTGGAGATGCATGGGTTTTAAAAGGAGTGAAATTTGGGAATGGGTTGGAATTTAAAAAATAGAAAGTTGTGTATTTTGAGCTTTTTCTTTTACTTATCATCTTTTCTTTTTTGACAAGATAATAATAATAATAAATAAATAAATAAATTCAACTTTAAGTTCATTCAAGATCAAAGCGAAATCAACTCTGAAAAAATTAGGGAATTAAAATGGTAACTTTACATTAAAGAAAAAGGAAGAGAATTGGAGGCTTATAGCAGCAGTAAGGTGGGAAAGATTTTGGGAAGCTTAAGGTTTCTTGGACCTTGGGCTTGAGTTTTAATTTCTTTTAGTAAGATGGTTAAAGAAGTTCAATATATTTTTTTTTCTCATTCATACTCCTTCCGGATTTTTAACTTTTTTATTCATCGTTAATTTCAGTATTTACTCGTCCCACTGAAGCTAGTTAGGACATTTTATGTCTGAACTCACTGAATCTGACTCACTCAGACTTGATCACTCAGCCTTAATATCTAAACTTACTGCAATATATAAATAAACATTTCAGCTATGTAGCAGTTATATGTATATGTATCTGCCAAGCTGAATTTGGAGAAGCAGTATATTTTAAATTTGTGTAGTTCAAATCAAATTAAACACACAACCCAAAGGACCTGACCAGGCCCAGGCATTCATTAATCAAGGGAAAGGGCGTCGTTTGTGAAAGAAAATAGTTTCTTCTTCTGGTTCTTGTAGGCGACAGGAGGGCAGAGCTGGAGGGTTTCCATCCTGAGGTAGAGGACAAGAGGCAGAGGTGTTTGGGTGGAGAGGGGAAGATGTGAGGAAGTAGAAAAAAGGGAAGGCTCCACGTGATGGAGCAGTTGTGAAGAAGGCGAAAATAGAAAACAGGGGACCCTCTTTCATGCTCTGCATTGACTCGAAGGAAGAAGAAGAAAGAGAAAATGCCGAGAAGGGAGAAGACGGGGGAGGCGAGGTCATATGTTCTGCAGCTTCTTCATGTGTTTGCACCCAAGTGGAAAGCTACCTCTATCCTAGCTTATACAAAAAACAGACAATATGTACGTATACATGTATATATATGCCGTCTTCTTGCTACGTAAAACCATACACCACCATCTTCTTTTGTGAGTTCAAAAGAAAAAAGACTTGAGGGTAAAGAAACATTTTTTAGGTCTTTGAATTTGACAATGAAGAATCTCCAAGTATTCCTTACATTTCTTCAACTGTAAGAAGAAACAAACTCGTCTAAGTCTCTTGGCTTCTGCTCTCTTCTACTAAACCCTTTTCTGCGTTTGTTGCATAGAAGCCTTTAATACCCAGCTCTCTTATATCTATTTCTTTATCTACATCTATATATATATATATATGAAAGTGATAGTTTGTGTGTAAATCATTTTCCACTTCACCAACTTTCATTATTCATATTCTCCTTTTATTTTTATTTTTTTCAGTTAATTATATTTTCTGTTATCTCTCAACCTCTGGTAATTTGTGGGCTAAGGTACGTTTTTTTCTGTGTTTATTTCTAATTTTGTGCTCACATTGATAATTTCCTGGTGATTTCCATATATTTATATATACAAAAGCTTTATATATATCAGCAGCTGTATATGCAATATGATTTGAAATGTGAAGCTGATTAAGATATTACTTAGAGTTTTCATAGGTATTTATGACTATAAGTACAGGTAGTAGGAGGTAAAAGAAGAGATTAGAAGAAGAAGAAAAATGGCGAGAGAGTTGGTTTATAGTGACCAAGGCAATGGCTGTGCAGGTTTTGCTATGAACAACTTCGCAGGTGGAGGCCTGTTCTTGCTTTGCATGGTGCTTGTCTCTCTCTCGCTTGTGTCATTGGTCGTCTTCATTTGTGGTGATGATGATCACAAACCTCACATAAGATTTCCTGGTGGTGGTGCTGGTTGTCGAGCCGGTGATGGTGGTTGCCGAGATGGCTGCGGCAAAGGTGACGGTGGCTGCCGCGGTTGATGAGAAGCAGGCTATTGAATACATCCCCTTGCATTTACATATATATATATATATATATATATATATATATAGATATACGACTTCTAACTTCATATAACTTTTAACTAGTTCAATGAACTTTTTTTTTAAGGCAGCAATAAGGATAGAAATTAAAAAACCCCTAGCTCTAGACTATCATATTTATTTAAATCTACATGAGTGTTTAGTTCCTTTAGGACCTGATTTAGTATGGTATGTTCTACATGGAAGAGATGGGCTTGACGAGATAGATGATCTATATATGCTTTTGTATATGAGGGGTCTGTATTTCCCAATCACCACTTAGAAAGTCTCTAATATGGGCATTGATAATCATGACTGACAAGACATAACTTTCTATTTACTGTAAGAATTGTTTGACATACTGAGAGTCAACTTTTGTGATCAATTTTTTATTTTCTTTTCCTCAAGCAAGCATCAATCCTTTTAGATACTCGTGGATCTCTATTATCATAGGTTTAGTGGTTCATATGTTGCACATAGACCCAACCATTCACCTACTTTAGCTATCTTTGATTAACCTCCAACTATTGTGCTCTTAAGATTTCCATGAGTTAAATCATTTCTATTGAATTTATGCTACTACAAAGAGGAGGTTCTCTACCCCGTAAGGGTATCTGGTGGGATCTCCTAATCTAATTTGAGAATAAGGTCTTTTGTTGCTGTTGAAAAAGTCAACTTCAAAAAAGTTAGCAGTAAATCCTTAGAATCTGTAGTATAAATCAGTTCCTATTTTCTTGTTTTATCAGTTGATGTAAAGTCTATTTAAAGACTGTTGCTTACTGAATAAATCACCAGAAACTTCTCCCCATTTGTGCTATGTTTTATTGTTTCAGTTTTAACAGTGGTATCAGAGCCGTCTTTCCCAAATTTGAGTGAGATACTTGGAAACTGAGTGAATCACAAAAGTGTAAAAATAGTGAAGGAAGCGTCTTCAGTTTGCAGCAGTATTAATCCTTTTTGCAGCAGCAGCTTTATGGCTTCAGAAAATTTTGTGCAACCTATCATTCCTCGCTTTGATGGTCATTATGATCATTGGAGCATGTTGATGGAGAACTTCCCTAGGTCAAAGGAGTATTGGCAAGTAGTTTCTGATGGCATACCAAAACCAGCAGTGGGCATTACAGTGTCGGATGCACAAAAAGTAGAAATATAAGCTGTAAAACTGAAGGATCTAAAAGCCAAGAATTATTTGTTCCAAGCCATTGATTACTCAATTTTGGAAACAGTTTTATGTAAGGATTTGTCCAAGCACATTTGGGATTCTGAAGGAAAATTATCAAGGTTCAGAAAGAGCAAAGAGGTAGTAGCTCCCAGCACTTCGAACCAAGTTTGAAACACATTGTATGAAATCCGGTGAATCAGTTTTGGATTACTTTTCACCAGTCATGACAATTGTTAACAAGATGTGGGTCCATGGGGCCAAGTCAGATGATGTTACTATAATGGAGAAAATATTAAGCTCGATGACCCCCAAATTTAATTACGTGGTATGTTCTATAGAGGAATCTAAGGATATTGATGAACTCTCACTTGGTGAACTGCAGAGTTCTTTAATGGTTCATGAGCAGAAACTCAATCAGCAGGATAAGGATAAACCAACATTACAAGCTTCCACCACCTGTCAGTCTTTGGTCTCAAATAAAATTGATAAAAAACAGCATAAAGGATCAATTGATTACAAAAATCAACAGCAGCAGCAATCTGGCCATCAATCTTATGATCCAAGCAGGAGAGGAAGGGGAAGAGGACGAGGTAGAGTTGGATCCCGTTCAGCCTCTCACAAATCAAGCTGAAGGAACAAGTCTAACATAGAATGTGATTAATGTCATAATTATGGACATTACAAATCTGAATGTCCTACTAACTTGTCTACAAACCATGGAGAAAATTCATGTTTTGTAGAAAATGAAGAGGAAGTCTCTCTTTTGATGGTTTGTCATGCAAAAGAAGAAACAAGTAAAAATATGTGGTACTTGGACATAGGCTGCAGCAATCACGTGTCACCATATGTCGCTCTTCTCCACCTTAGACAAATCTTTTCGAGACAATGTGAAATTTGGGGACAGCTCCAAAGTTTCTGTCATGGGCAGAAGAAAAATAATTATCTAGACTAAAAGGAATGCCACTCAAATTATTTCCAACGTTCTGTTTGTTCCAGATTTAAAGACCAACTTATTAAGTATTGGTCAGTTGCAAAAAATGGGCTATGAGATTTCCATCAAGGATGGAGTGTGCCGAATTAAAGATGCCAAATTAGGCTTAATTGTTCAAGTCATGATGACTGCTAATAGGATGTCTCCTCTCTATCTCAACAATCTTAATCCAACATGTTTTTCAGCAAAATTAAATGACATGGCTTGGCTATGATATTTTTGCTATGGTTATCTCAATTTTGCTAGTCTAAGAACACTTCACCCGAAAACATGGTGGTTGGTCTTTTAAAGTTATCAACACTTCAATGCC